AGATTTTTTGAATCCATGGATTAGGTTTTTAGGATTGTTTCGTTTCTCATCTTCTGTTTACACTTGGTAATAGATACACTCTATATGTATATTCCTCTTCAGTTACTCTATATGGAACCATTCGTTGTTAAGGAGAACAGTCTCGTATCTGCTTCGTCTCCGTTGAAGAAACGACGGATCGATCATACTCAGGCTAAGGCTGATGGTTCTGCGGTTTTAGACTCAAACTCCAACATCGACGGTGCTGGTGGTGACGAGACGCGGATGAACATGGATGCGCTTGGTGATAACTCGAATAATCATGAGATCGATGAAGATCTTCATAGTAGACAGCTCGCGGTTTATGGTCGTGAGACTATGAGGAGGCTTTTCGCTTCTAACGTTCTCCTTTCTGGGATGCAGGGACTTGGTGTTGAGATCGGTAACGCTTTAGTTTCTAATTTACTCATTTCGATGTTAATTTCCTTTTGCATGTCACTTATGTGCTTGTCCTGCTGGTTGTTTAAAGAGCTTCAAGCTTGAGTAAACGTGTTACTTGATTAAGCTGCTTGATTTGAGTGCCATCTTTTCCTGTACATTTGAGCATTCTTGAAAGTTGACTCTGTAAAACTGCTATCTTAACTTGTTAAGCCTGTTTCACTGATAAGTTAGTTAGTGTGGCATTATTTTCTGATGAAAGGTTCATAGGTTTTTGTTGTCTTGCTTTTTAATGTACATTAGCTAAATTTGTAATGGTATTTCTCTTTTTTCTATCCTTTCTGATGGATGGTTTTTGTTTTCTTATGTAGCCAAGAATATTATTCTTGCTGGTGTGAAGTCAGTGACCCTTCACGATGAAAATGTGGTTGAGCTATGGGACTTGTCTAGTAACTTTGTTTTCACAGAGGAGGATGTTGGTAAGAATAGGGCACTTGCTTCTGTTCAGAAGTTGCAAGAACTCAACAATGCCGTGGCTGTCTCAGCTTTGACTGAGAAGTTAACCAAAGAGCAGCTTTCTGGTTTCCAGGTATTCGAAACCCTTCCTTTATTTTGTTTTATTTTCTTTTTCTCGTTCTAGTTGTCATCTTGTAGATATGGATATAATTTTCTGTACAAAAGATTAGAGGCGAGTAAACGTGGATGATTTTTCTCCTGAATATTTGTGTTGTCCTCAATACTCACATAGATGAAAATGTTTCTACAAAGTACAGAATGTTTAGCTTGTTCATAATTTTCTCAGTAAATACTGGCTGATTTCTTTGATTTTTCTTTGATGCAGGCCGTGGTATTTGTGGATATCTCTTTTGAGAAAGCGATAGAGTTTGATGATTATTGTCATAGTCATCAGCCTCCTATTGCATTCATCAAGGCTGACGTTAGGGGCCTGTTTGGGTCTTTGTTTTGTGATTTTGGACCTCAGTTTACTATTCTTGATGTTGATGGGGAGGAACCACACTCTGGCATCATTGCTTCTGTTAGTCATGAAAATCCTGCATTTGTTTCGTGTGTTGATGATGAGAGGCTCGAGTTTGAGGATGGAGATCTTGTAGTTTTTTCTGAAGTTGAGGGGATGAAAGAGTTAAATGATGGAAAACCAAGGAAGATAAAAAATGTGAAGCCTTATTCATTTGTCCTTGAGGAAGACACCACTAGCTATGGGGCATATATGAAGGGTGGGATTGTCACTCAGGTGAAACAACCAAAGGTGCTGAATTTTAAACCACTCAGAGAAGCAATTAAAGATCCAGGCGACTTTCTTCTAAGTGACTTTTCAAAGTTTGACCGGCCACCTCTTCTCCACTTAGCGTTCCAGGCACTTGATAGGTTTTCGTCTCAAGCAGGCCGGTTTCCGGTTGCTGGTTCAGAAGAAGATGCTCAGAAACTAGTGGAAATTGCAACTGACATTAATGAGAGTTTGGGTGATGCAAGGTTGGAAGATGTCAACCCTAAACTATTGCGGCATTTGGCCTTTGGATCCAGGGCTGTTCTGAATCCCATGGCCGCTATGTTTGGTGGCATTGTTGGACAGGAGGTTGTCAAGGCATGCTCTGGGAAATTCCATCCTCTCTTTCAGGTAAAAAACCTTTCCTGTTTGGATTTGAGGTGGCACATCTGTGTTATACATGAAGTCTATACCAGCACTCCATGTTTCTGTTCCCTTTTTAGTAGTTTATCTTTTTTACTTGGTAATCTTGTAATGATTTTACATTCTGTATGCAGTTCTTTTACTTTGATTCGTTGGAGTCACTCCCCAAGGAACCTCTTGATGCATCAGAGTTTAGACCACAAAATAGGCGTTACGATGCACAGATCTCTGTATTTGGGTCTACTCTTCAGAAGAAACTCGAGGATGCCAGAGTTTTTGTTGTAGGGGCTGGTGCTCTTGGATGTGAGTTCTTAAAGAATTTGGCTTTGATGGGTGTGTCTTGTGGCACTCAAGGGAAGCTTACTGTCACCGATGATGATGTAATTGAGAAGAGCAACCTGAGTCGTCAGTTTCTTTTTCGTGATTGGAACATAGGACAGGCTAAATCCACAGTTGCCGCTACAGCAGCAGCAGGAATAAATTCTCGCTTCAACATTGATGCTCTGCAAAATCGTGTTGGACCTGAGACTGAGAATGTCTTTGACGACAGCTTCTGGGAGAATTTGACAGTTGTTGTCAACGCGTTGGACAATGTCACTGCAAGGCTGTATGTCGATTCAAGGTGTGTGTATTTCCAGAAGCCTCTCCTCGAGTCAGGAACCCTAGGTGCAAAGTGCAACACACAGATGGTTATCCCTCATCTCACTGAGAACTATGGTGCCTCGAGAGACCCACCGGAGAAACAGGCTCCAATGTGCACCGTGCACTCATTTCCTCACAACATTGACCATTGCTTAACATGGGCTCGCTCAGAATTCGAGGGTCTACTTGAGAAAACACCAGCTGAAGTTAATGCATACCTCTCAAACCCTGTTGAATACATGAATGCAATGAGGACTGCTGGTGATGCTCAAGCTAGAGATACTTTGGGACGCGTTGTTGAGTGCCTCGACAAAGAAAAGTGCAATATATTCCAGGATTGCATAACCTGGGCTCGTCTGAGGTACTCTCTCTCTCTCTTTGTACAGACCCTTCATCGAGACTGTATATAAACAATTTTCTTCTCTTAACGTAAGTTCTTGTTTGCAGGTTTGAGGATTACTTTGTCAACCGTGTTAAGCAGTTGATTTACACATTTCCCGAGGATGCTAATACTAGTACTGGAGCTCCATTCTGGTCTGCCCCAAAAAGATTCCCTCGTCCACTCAAGTTCTCCTCAACCGACCTGAGCCACATCAATTTCATCATGGCTGGAGCTATCTTGCGTGCAGAGACATTTGGAATCCCTACTCCTGAGTGGGCTAAAACCCCAACAGGACTAGCCGAGGCTGTGGAAAGAGTGATAGTCCCCGACTTTGAGCCGAGGAAAGATGCAAAGATTGTGACAGATGAGAAGGCTACAAGTTTGTCTACAGCTTCAGTCGATGATGCAGCAGTAATCGATGAACTAATCTCTAAACTAGAGCAGTGCAGGCTGAGCTTGCAGCCAGAGTTCAGGATGAAACCAATCCAGTTTGAAAAGGTAAATCATAATTGTATCCAACTGTGTTCAATTTTTCTGTATCCGCATTACAAGAGCAACTAACATGATGCTGTTTTTAGGACGACGATACCAACTACCACATGGATATGATCGCTGGGCTAGCCAACATGAGAGCAAGGAACTACAGCGTTCCCGAGGTGGACAAACTCAAAGCCAAATTCATCGCCGGAAGAATCATACCTGCAATTGCAACATCAACAGCTATGGCAACTGGTTTTGTTTGCCTCGAGCTGTACAAGGTCTTAGACGGATCACACAAAGTGGAAGACTACAGAAACACGTTTGCCAACTTAGCGCTCCCTCTCTTCTCCATCGCTGAGCCGGTTCCACCAAAAGTAGTGAAACACCAAGACCAAAGCTGGACAGTTTGGGACCGATGGGTCATCAAAGGAAACCCAACACTAAAGGAGTTGCTAAAATGGTTAGAAGAGAAAGGTCTAAACGCGTACAGCATCTCGTGCGGAAGCTGTCTACTGTTCAACAGTATGTTCCCGAGGCATAAAGAGAGGATGGATAAAAAAGTGGTCGATCTTGCAAGAGAAGTGGCTAAAGTTGAATTGCCTGCTTATCGACGTCACTTGGATGTTGTGGTGGCTTGTGAAGACGACGATGACAATGACGTTGATATTCCTCTCGTATCAGTCTACTATGCCTGATTGTTTACAAAGATCCCCAAATTAATAATTACTGTATTCTTCTGCTAGTTGAAGTTTGGGTTTAAGAGATAGAGAGAGAGAGTTTTGATGTAAGAATTAGTTAAGTTCTTCAAATTTGCAACTTATTCTAAAGCTGATTAGACC